GGAAAAGGGAGGGAAGGCACCGAACTGTTTTCTTCTTAGTGTTTAATTAAGACTCCTCTAAATTACAGCTTAGAGGGGAGAGCTTAGAGAAGGGAAAGAGGAAGGGGAAGTGGGCATTGTGATGTTTGCTTGCACACGCACAAGCGCACAGGCCCGCATGCATGGCTACCTGCATACGGGTGCGCACTCGTGTATGTCTTGAGCACACCTTCCGTTTTACAGGAACGTGGCTGTTTTGTTTACAGATAAAGACGGTTTTGCTTTGTATGTGAATCACACTGTTTGTTTCTCTGTCTGTCTGTCTCTCTCTCTCTATCTTCTCTTTCTCTTCTCTCTCTTTTCTTCTCTTCTCCTCTCTCATCTCTCTCGTATCTCCTATCTCCATTTCCCTGCTTCCTCTGCCCTCCCCCTTTCTCACTCTCTGTCTATCTATAGATCGATCGATCTTTCTCCCCCCTCTCTCTATCTATCTATTTAATCTATCGATCGATCGATCGAACTTTATCTCCCCCTTTCTCTCTCTCTCTATCCATCTATCTGTTATATATCTATCTCTATCTTCTCTCTCTCTCTCTCTCTCTCTCTCTCTCTCTCTCTCTCTCTCTCTCTCTCTCTCTCTCTCTCTCTCTCTCTCTCTCTCTCTCTCTCTCTCTCTCTCTCTCTCTTTCTCTCTTTCTCTTTCTCTCTTCTCTCTCTCTTCTCTCTCTCTCTCTCTCTCTCTCTCTCTCTCTCTCTCTCTCTCTCTCTCTCTCTTCTCTCTTCTCTCTCTCTCTTCCTTCTCTCTCTTCTCTTCTATCCCCCTTTCCGTCTCCCTCTCTCTCTCCTGCTTCCCCTCTCCCTCTCTCTCCTCCCGTCCCCTTTCCCTCTCCCTCTCCTTCTCCTTCTCCCTGCTTCCCTACCCTCTCTCCTTCCGTCCCTTTCCCTCTCCCTCTCCTTCTCCCTGCTTCCCCTCTCCCTCTCTCCTCCCGCCCCCTTTCCCTCTCCCTCTTCCCCTCTTCCCTCTCTCTCCTCCCGTTCCCTCTACCTCTCCTCCCTGCTTCCCCTCTCCCTCTCTCATCCCGTCCCCTTTCGCTCTCCCTCTCTCTCTCCCTCTCCCTGCTTTCCCTCTCCCTCTCTCCTCCCGTCCCCTTTCGCTCTCCCTCTCTCCTCCCGCCCCCTTTCCCTCTCCTTCTCCTTCTCCCTGCTTTCCCTCTCCCTCTCTCTCCGCCTCCTTTCCCTCTTCCCTCTCCCTCTCCCTGCTTCCCCCTCCCTCCTCCTCCCTTCCTCTCCTTCTCCCTCTTCTCCTTCCTCCCCTTTCCCTCTCCTCTCTCCTTCTCCCTGCTTCCCTCTCCTCTCCTTCCCCTTTCCTCTCTCCCTCTCCCTGCTTCCCCTCTCCCTCTTCTCCCGTCCCTCTCCCTGTCCTCCCGTCCCCTTTTCGACGCAGAGTTCATATTTACTGTCTCCGCCTGGCATTGTGGCCGTGTCACCCTGCCGTGTTTGTTTTCACCTTTGGCTGCTTTCAGCTTCAGATTTGCTTGTTTGTCTTGAAGATCATCCCTTTCGGAGCGGGAGGACTTGTGTTTGTTTTGAGTATTGTTTATGATTACGTAATGTTAGTCCGTACGCTCACGCAAGGGCCGCCGGTGTACACGCACGTGCGCTCGGGTTCCTCGTCTCTCGCGCGATATCATCTGCCTGGGTCTCCCCTCCCCCCTCCCCCCTCCCCCCTCCCCCCTTCTCGCCTCCCGTTTTCTTTTCCCCTTTTGTGTGTTTGCGGGGTTCGTCCGCTTGCTTGCCCTCCCCGCCTGTCTTTGTGGCTCGTTTTTCTCTGCTTACCTTTCTGCCTCCTTTGCTTGCTTTTCGCGCCGTCTTGCTTGCTTTGTCTGGCTTCTTTGGCTTGCATTATTTACAGCCGGGTTGCTTTGCTCGCTGTCTTTGTTTGCGTCTTTTAGAAGTCTGCTTGCTTTTTTTCCTGCGCGCTTTGCTTGCATATGGCGCCTGGCTGGTTGCTTGCCCGTCGTTCCCTTCTTGCTTGCCTTTTGGTCCATCCTTGTTATCTCCTCTTCATTCTTTCTTTCATTCTTCCAACGTTCTTTTAGCTTTATTCGTTTTTTTTTCATTTTTCTTCCATCATTCTTTTAGCCTTTTTAAAAATCTTTACGTTCTCATCGTTATTTCTTCTTTCACTTTCATTCATTTTCATTCTTGTTTGATTTTCTTCGATCATCGTCTTGTTCTCCGTGCAGTTTAATCCTTGTTTATTCTTTATACTTTTCTTGTTCTTCGTTCTCTTACTCATTATTATTTTTCTCCATTCTCTTTTCATTTATTCTTTATACTTTCTGTTTTTCTTCGTTCTCTTACTCAATCTTTATTTTTCTTCTCCATATTCTCTTTTCTTCCATTCTCCTCTTCTTTCTCTTGTCCTTCGTTCACTTACTCACCCTTTTTCTTCTCCATTTTCTCCTTTCATTCTCTTGTCCTTCGCTCTCTCACTCATCATAATTTTTCTCTTCCTTTCATTCATTATTTTTTCTTTTTCCTTTCATTCATTCTCCTCTTCCTTTCTCTGCGTCTTGGAAGGAAGTCGGTTTCTTGGGATGGAAATATTCTTTTGTTTCCTTCGTCGTTTTGTCTTTATCACCTTATTGTTTTATTCTTATTATTGTTGTTTCGTTGTTATTGTTCGTTGTCTTTTACCGCGTTCTTCTGAATTTCTGTTTTTTTCTTCTTTGTTTGTGTGTTTGTTTGTTTTTTAAATTCTTTTCATTAGCATTTCTGTTGTTTTCTCTCTCTCTCTCTCTCTCTCTCCTCTCTCTCTCTCTCTCTCTCTCTCTCTCTCTCTCTCTCTCTCTCTCTCTCTCTCTCTCCTCTCTCTCTTCTCTCCCTCTCCTCCCTCCCTCTCTCTCCCTCTCTCTCTCTCTCTCTCTCTCTCTCCCTCTCTCCCTCCCTCCCTCCCTCCCTCCCTCTCTCCCTCTCCCTCTCCCTCTTCCTCTCCCTCTTCTCTCTTCTCTCTCTTCTCTCTCTCTCTCTTCTCTCTTCTCTCTCTCTCTCTCTCTCTCCTCATCACCTCCCTCCCTCCTCCCTCCCCCTCTCCTTTTTGCATTCCCTTTCCCTTTTCATTTCTGCATTTCTCTCTCTCCCTTCGCTCTCCCTCCCCCTCCCTGACAAATCCTACAAACGAGATTACTGAGCCTTTAGACATTGATAGGAGGCGATATCCTTCCCCTCACTTCCCCTCCTCTCCGTTTCCCCGTGAAATCCGGAATCGCCATTAACTTCAAAATTGAAAAGAGACATTGACAGGCAGATACTTCCCCTCTCCCTCCTTCCCTCCTTCTATTTTCCTCTTCCTTCTCCTTTCCTCTTTTTCTACTCTCCTCTTCTTTCCCCTTCTCCTTTAGCACATGCACTCCCATATCTCCCCCTATGTCTTTATTTCCCTTCCTTCTCCTCCTCTATTTTCCCCTTTTTCGCCCTTATTCTCCCCTCCCCCACTTTCTTTCCCTCTCTTTTAGCACATACATTCCCGTATACCCCCCCCCCCCCCGCTATCCTCGTCCCCCCTCTCCCTCTCCCCTCTTCTCTCAACCCTCATCTAATCTCTGTCTCCCTTATCCCCCCCCCCCACTCCCCGCCCTCCCCATCGCCCTTCACCTCTCGCTTCACTGGTCTCGTGTAAAATTGACAGTTTCTATGTTTCGGTGGTTCACTTCTCTCTCTCTGTCTCTCTCTCTTCCTTCTTTCTCTCTTCTCTCTCTCTCTCTCTCTTCTTTCTCTCTCTCTCTCTTTCTCTCTCTCTCTCTCTCTCTCTCTCTCTCTCTCTCTCTCTCTCTCTCTCTCTCTCTTCTCTCTCTCTCTCCCTCTCTCTCCCTTCTCTGTCTCTCTCTTCTTTCTTTCTCTCTTTCTCCTCGTTCTCTCTTTCTTTCTTTCTCCTCTCTCTCTCTCTCTCTCTCTCTCTTCCTCTCTCTCTCTCTCTCTCTCTCTCTCTCTCTCTCTCTCTCCTCTCTCCTCTCTCTCTCTTTCTCCATTCTCTCTGTCTCTCTCTCTTCTTTTCTCTCTTTTCTTTCTCTCTTTCTTTCTCTCCTCTGTCTCTTTCTCTCTTCTCTTTCTTCTCTCTTTCTTTCGCTTCTCTCTGTCTGTCTCTCTCTCTCCCTCTTCTCTCTCTCTCTCTCTCTCTCTTCTCTCTCCTCTCTCTCTCTCTCTCTCTCTCTCTCTCTCTCTCTTTCTGGGTACTGTCTTCTCTCTCTTTCTTTCTCTCTTTCTTTCTCTCTCTGTCTCTCTCTCTCTCTTTCTTCTCTCTTTCTTCGTTCTCTCTGTCTGTCTCTCTCTCTCTCTCTCTCTCTCTCTCTCTCTCTCCTCTCTCTCTCCTCTCCTCTCTCTCTTCTCTCTCTCCTCCTCTCCATTTCTCTTTCATTCTCTTCTCATTCTCTCATTCTCTCTCTCTTCATTTTCTCTCTCTCATTCTTCTCTCTTCTTCATTCTCTCTTTCTTCTTCTCTCTCTATCTATCTATCTAATCTATTTCCCTGTCCTCTCTCTTCTATCTATCTATTCCTGTTCTCTCTCTTTCTTCTCATGATCTGGGGAGGGGAGGGAGGGGCAGGCGAAGGAAAAGAAAAAGAGAAGGGGAAGGGAGGCGGAGGGGAGGTGAGGGGAGCGGGGAGGGGAGCGGGCAGCGGGTTATTGGATTAGGTCCGCAGTTCGGTGTTTAAGCCGTTTGTTTTGTTCTTTCTGTTTTTTGTTTTTTTTCACCAGTAAAAAAACCCCAACCCCNCTCATTCTCTCATTCTCTCTCTCATTCTCTCTCTCTCTCATTCTCTCATTGTCTCTCTCTCATTCTCTCTCATTCTCTCTCTCTCTCCCTCTCCCTCTCCCTCCTCTCCCTCCCCTCTCCTCTCCTCTCTCCCACTCTTTCAATGCAGCTTTTTTACTAGTATATTCTTTTGATTATGACATATTTTATAATATTTTCCACCTCAATATGACCTTGATCTATAAAGGGAAAGATATTTGAATAAGGTTCATATTCGCAGGGGTAAGTTGTTCTTCAGTGAAGAGGCCGGACGCTGGTGCCTCCCCAACATGGCCTCCGACCGCTCCGTCGTCATGCGGTCGCAGCGATGCAACTTTGAGCTGGAGAAAAGACGCCCTGTCCAGTTCAGCGCCTTCTTTGGCATCTCCTCTCTATCAACAGCCATATTTGGCATTGTGTTCGGGGTCCTCTTCTATGTGATGGCTTCCATCTCCTTTACCAGGTCACTTTTGCTCAAGGTAGGGAAGATTTATGATTCGTTCAGATTTTTTTTTTTCCTCTCTCTCTTGTTTGTTACCCTTTTTTTTTTTAAATTCCATTTTTGTTTGTCATTTTATATTAGAATTGTACATTAGGAAAATAAAGTAGAGCTTGTCAAGATCTAGAAAATAGATGAGTGGTAGGCTTACATATCAGCATTGATGAAAATTGTTTATAGAAATGTCACCAAATTAACAAACCTTTTGATTTTGCAGTATCCAGAGTTCTTCACCTTTGGCCTGTTCTCCCGAAAGGGCCCCAAACGTGAAGACCTGGTTAACATGAAGTTCTGCGTGACCCTCACTGGAAAAGGTTGGGAGAAGAAGATAGAGGACCCAGAACAGCAGCACACTGACCCACCTACTGTTAGCAAGACTGTTACGGTAATCAGTAATGCTTTTTTCCCCATGTCCTCCGTTGTTGAGAGATTACTTATGGAGAGGTGTATTAATTTGGTTTGTTATTCTTGATATGCTCACTCTGTTAGTGAATGTAACGAGACTCGCCTCTCTGAAGTCTATTTGCATTTAAAAAAGGGTTGTCCATTTTGTCCTCATGAAGATATACAAAAGTCTCCTTGCTTTAGATATGCTTCTCATTTATATTAATTATATTGAGGTGAGAGAAACTTGTTCCACATCCAAGATTTACTTCTTGGGGACAGTTTCTTAGAGAATAGAGAAGGGTCTTAACCCACTGGATCCAGATACTTAACTGCCCATACATGGCCCAAAATACAGGCATTGGGCATACTTAAGTGGCCATTCTGCTGGGTGTACGGCTTGTAGGCTGGGCGAACATGAACAGTTGTGCGTGGTGAAGACTCCTTCCCTCCCATTTGCAATGTTATTTTATCTTTTTCTGTATAAGTGTTTTTAGCAGTGATGCCATTTTCCAATGTAAATATTTATCACTTGATTTGCTTTATCCAGATGGTAATAAATTGTTTTCCTTGCACAGACTATATAATCTCTAGGTAGTCCATAACTCAGTGCAGTGATGATATCTATAAGTAACATTGTTATTTTTGTCCTTTTGTTTAGTTTTTGTAATATTTGAATTTTATTTAATACAACTTGTGCCACCAGTCATGACAAGCAGGAATAGTTTCCTGAATGATGGAAATAGTGTCCTTCCAGGAACTGGTGCCTTTCCAGTCATGGCTCATGGATGGTACTTCCATGTTTATCAATGTAAATAATGCAAAAGCTCCTTCCTAAATGCCCAATGAGTCTAATCACCCTCCAAAAGCTTTGTGTACTTGTAGCAAGTCATTCCCATCACCCCAGCCTTCAATATAAATTCTAATGACACGGCAAATTCCTATCATCCTGGCTCTCGGACATATTTATCCATGATCACATCACCTGCCCCTCAAGCCAAATTTTTTCATGACATGATGGTCACATCATATGGATCATAGGGGTTAATTGTATTCTGACAATAATGTCTCTTGAAACAGGTTGTTGGTCCTGATCCTGGATATTTTGGAACAGCCACCATTGTGAGTCAGTGTGCTCTGACTGTGCTTCAGGAAAAGGACAAGCTTCCCAAAAGGTAGGCTAATTCTACCATAAGTTTTTGCATAGTAAGAGCATTTTATACTCTTGATAGCAGTTGAAGCACAAATTTTTATTAAATAATTGTTAGTTTAATGTCATGCAGTCAGCTTCATTATTTAAGCTTCACAGTGAGGGACTGATATTAATTGTTTGCGATCAATTGTTTGCAGTGGTGGTGTGTTTCCACCTGGAGCTGCCTTCGTGAAGACTACCCTGCGCAGTCGCTTGGAGGACAACGGAATCAGCTTCAAAGTCAAAGAGTAGAGTCCGCTGAGGTTTCATGGGAGATTAGAAGGGAGAACTATAACCAAATTTCATATGGCCTTATTAATGCATAAATTCCAAAGATATATTTAGATTGTGTAGTGTGGAAGTACTTGGTTTTGAGGTGTGGATAATCTGTGGAGGTTAGGATTTCCTTTGTCAGATTATGTAATCATTGAAAAAGCAATATGAGGTATACTAGTTATCTTTTTTTTCCGTTTTTTATTTATTTACTTTTTTTTTCTTTTCCTTCTTTTGGCTTCGAAGGTAGTCAATCATAATGGATGTTTGATTTTTTTTTTGAATTTTGAATTTTGATAGCATGACATGTTTAAAGTTTATTTCTCAAGTAGTTGACCTGGAAGTGTTTTTTCTCAGCATACTTTGCTTGCTTTACTAGCAGTCACTATGTCAGTTATTTTCTATACACATTTCTTTGTTAATTTTCTTACTTATTCCCTCTTTTTCCTTCTTTTTTTAAAATGAAATGGTAATGTGATATGGAATATTTATGAGTGAAAGTTGTCTAATATTTTTTTATTGCAAATATCATTGTCCTAATAAAAGATAGATGATATGTGGGTATGAGGATATATTTTCTATATCAACATTGTGTAATAGGTATGGTGATACCCTAAATTATAGTGCCAAAAATTAATTAAATAATGAGGCTGAATAAGGCAGAACTCACTAAATATTATGCCCTGCATTCACTTGACACCTAACGGTTAACTTGTTAGAGTGAGTGAGTCAGTGGTTGATTGGGGATGAGTAGAGTGAGTGAGTGGGTGATTGAGTGAAGTAAAGTGAGTGTGAGGGATGAGTGAGTGAGTGGCATGGTGTAAATTGAGTAAAATGAGTGAGCATGTTAAATAAATTGAGTAAGTTGAGTGATGTGATTAAGCAAATGGAATAGAGAATGAGAGGGATGAGTGGGTGAGTGGTGAGGAGTGTGTTTGGCGAGTTCGTGTCGTTCCCTTCAATTTGAACCGTTTAGCCAGAAGCCTGACATATTTTCTGTTTGGTGTTTGGTGAATGCAGGTCCGTTCTCTTCTCTTATTCTTACATTCCTTCTATTTCATGTTAGACCAGTTAGTTATAGATCATGCACTAATTGTGTTCCGGGAAAGCATTTACTTAACAAAATAGGAACAGGTTTTGAGACATTTTTCTTTCGTATTCAAGGTGCTTCACATGACATTGTACAATCGTCATTATAGTATTTTTATGTTTTGTTTTTGTTTTTTTGGTGTGTTCTATGTTTACTTATGCACAGGATGTTGATGTTGTGTGTTGAGTGTTGCTGTCAAAGCTGCCCCTTATTTTTATACTTTAGAACAAACACTGTCAGGCTTTGTTAGTTTTTCATCATTGTCTCTTTGCAACATCCTTTAGAAATCATGATTTTCATAATCTGTTACTCTGTTTTCCTCTCTCATTGATGTCATACAAATTTAACAAAAGTAATACATCAACTAATGTTTCTTCATGTGCTTGGCTATTATTATTGCACAAAAATGTTCCTGTAAGTATGATTCACCCAGGTCTCCGTTAGGCTAAAATGCCCTACCGTTTACCATCTGGCAAGACACATGTAATAATGCTGCTGCAGTTTCTAGACCATTTGTAATCTGTGTACAGCAATTGCATCAGCCAGTTTGAATTTTCGTCAGTCAGATTTAGTGTTGTGAAAAATCTCGAGTTCCTGTTTTTTGTTGTGAATTCGCAGCCAAATCTAAAAGCTGTGGTTTTGAAAATTTGAACAAACGAGGAGATATAAGGATATAAAGAGATTATATTTACTAAGGATATTTAGCCATTGTATGGTAATTTGTGTTTTGGTATATTGTACTTAGAGGAATAAAGCATTAATAACGATTTATATGAATTTGTTTCACCTTTATAACTGTAGTATTAAGGATTGTTTTGAAATTGGGGATTAAAAATGACTGACACTACAGATTTTGGAGTAAAAAAGAATTACTTGAAATCTACTATGTCTGCATAGCATGTTTGCAATAGCTCAGGATATACTGCACATGAGAGTGCTTATTTTGAAAGTGATGCTGTACCTCATAATTCTTTAAACTCTCTCTCTTTCCCTTTCTCTTTCTCTCTCCTCCTCCTCTTTCACTCCCTTTTTCTCTCTTTCTCTCTCTTTTTCACCATTTCCAAATTAACGAATCTTTTCATTTTTACACCTGGGATCCAATTGCTCTTAAACCCCTTTCTTTTTGCTAATCACCACCTTACCCTATGGACATCCTTGCAGAATCTCACACTTCTTCCTTTGACAACTTTGATCGAATCACCCCTGCTAATCCCTACCTTACCCCATTTACTCACCCTCTTTACCCTCACCCCTCTTTGCCCCTTTCAGTTCTGTACTGTCCTGAGCTACCTTACTTTTTACCATACCATACTACGATACTTTAGCCTTTTCACTAATAATCCTTTCTGTATTGCTGTATGACTTTTGATGTCTAAGATTTGTTTTGTAACCATAAACAATGAATCATTTTCATTCTTAAACAGGAAATGAACTTGCCTGCATTTTTCCCCAAGGCTTCACAACCACCTTGCTGTATACAGTTGTGCTTCTGTTTCCACTTTTTGGCCCTTTCCTTTGGGTTCAAGTAGTAATGGGAAAACCGTGTTACTTAAACTATTATTTCATATAGTTCAGTTTTTATTAAATCTATACAACGATTTCATGAGTAAAATTCAGAATTCTCAATTTCATGATGTGCCTTTGTTGAAACTGCTGCAACTATATTGGTATAGGGACATGGAATATTCAATCAGTACATATTTAAAAGAAACACTATGTTCTCTTGATAAACAACAACAAAATGATGAAATAAATTATTATTTCTCATATAACACATACCCATGGACAA